TTAATTAGGTCAACTTCACCGGCTGTACTTACCAAATAATTTTATGTAATAAATTAATGTACAATAAGGTCATGCCGCACGCCTAACCTATAGATGATGTAATTATTGTAAATATTTATGTGACCGACTTAAATTTAAAAAAAAAAAATACTATAATTAATGGTAAATAATTTAAATTATTCATACGGACCAACTCACCCTCAATATTCTTCATGACCACCCGCTTTATTTTATGCGCGCAACCATCACAGTGCAATCTGATTTTCATTACCACTGTGCTCACCGCAGGCTGAAATATAATGAAAAAATATATTTATATAATTTTATATTAGATAATTAAATGGTATTATTATTGGGTGTAAGATTTTTTTCTGAAATTTTTTATTTTCGAAATTCTATCTCTTTTCAAAAAATGAGATAAATAAAGTAATTTTGTTTAATATAAGTGAGGTAAGTTTGAGATTGGAATTTCTTACAAAAAAAAAAATAAGAAAGTTAAGTTCTGGACCCAAAAGTGCAGGAAATAAGGGGAGTGGAAACAAATGAAAAGGACGTACAAATACGTTTTCCCCACAATTTAAATGTAACTCGTACTTCGTGAATACATTTTTCTTTGTATAAATATTTGTAAAACGTATTTGCTAAATACGTTTTTCAATTAGATTTGTAAGGGAAACGTATTCTCTAAATACGTGTTTTTTATTTTGGTCCACTTTCCTTTGTTTGTGTATTTTTTTGTCCACTTGTTTTTTTTTATTTTTAATATATAAATCAATGTTTTAAAAATCGTACCGGTCGTCATACCGGTGTAGCGACCGGTATGCGGTATTACCGGTACGACCGGTATTACCGTCTATTTTACCGGTTTTAATAAATATTAAATTAATTTGTTATTATTATATAAATAATATACAAAACTAACTTTAATTAATATTAAAATAAATTAACATCTAATAACATTATAAACATATTAAAGTTAAGTGTAGAAATTTCATTTTATATAAATAAAATAATAAAAAACTATTAAAAATATTTTTTTTTTAAAAAATGGCATAAACCGGTATCTTGACCGGTATTTTGGCCGGTATTTGTCGGTAAAACCGGTATTTTCCAGTACGAAACCGGTATTTTGGCCAAAACGGTATTTTAAGTGTAAATGTACCAGTCGGACCACCGGTATCCAGTAATACCGGTAATACCGGCCGGTACGAACCGGTATTTAAAACATGAATATTATAAATTACCTGTTGAGATTGGGAATAAAAATTTATATATTTATCCAACAGGAACCTAATTTAGCTCATAATAAAGTGGCGAGACACCAATAGGTTGGCTTTGAGTAAACAATTTGATGTCGTTTAAACAAAGTCTCAGATTCAAGCCCATATAGATGCAGAAAACCCTTCTTGGGAGACTCACCCACTACTGTCAAGTGTGCGTCTCGGATCGACCAAGACATAGCTCTGGATACCGTGGGTGACGCCCAAAAAAAAAAGTGGAGAGACAAAAATGTATTTTACCTCTTTGGGTTTCTTATTATCATCGCTGGCCTTTTTTTCCTCGGCGGCTTTCTTAATTGATTTCTCGCCGGCCTTGTTGCCGGCGCCGCCGTCCTTTTTGGGCTGAGGGGAGATGAGGTCCACCTTCTTCTTGGTCTTGTATTGGACTCGCTCGCGGAGCCCCGTGGGGTCCACATCGCCGGTCACGGTCAACTTGTTGGACGCGCACTCAGCCTTTACTTTCTCCACACCTTCATAGGACAAAATTAGGACCACGTGCGCAAATTAATTTCAATTGATTGATAATATCAAAATTTGTTATCTTCTTTGTGAATTTAATTTGTGGTGGAATTTTTAATATGTATTTATATTTTTAAATTAAAATGCATGTCATAATTGAACCACCAGACCAGACTATAGTGTTAATTTTTTTTTTGGTACATGGACCTTCTGGTTTCCGAATCTACAGGGGAACCGACTAATCCAGAATCAAGCCGGGTAGGACCACAAGGATGACAAAGCTCTCCTTCAAGAGTTTTAACACTGATTATTGAACCCCTGTATTAATTCTTTTTTAATATTTTAGAAGAGAGATTTATGCTTCAAATTAAATCAAAATTAAGAACATATCATTTTTTTTTTTTGCAAAACAATTTAAAAGAAAAATAAAAATAAAATTGGTAGTTACCTTCGAAATGGCTAACCGCCCGTTTGACTTTCTTGGCGCAACCTTCGCAGTGCAAGTCGAGCCCCAACACGGCGGTGATCGGCCCATCAACCTTCTTTCCTCCGCCGTCCGCCGCCTTGTTATTACCGCCGTCTTTCTGGAAAAAAAGTACAGACAGAAAGAGGACAAAAATGGGTTAGCAAAAAAAACCGGAAATTATTATCAGAATTTCACGAAAAAACCGGAAATTATTAGATCAATTACCTCACGGTCCTCACCCATAGACGGTTTTTTATTTTCCTCTTGTTTTTTTTCCTTTGTGTAAAAAAGAGAAAGAAAATTGGAGGCAACCGTCGTAGACTCGTTGTATAGTATATAGCGAAGTTTTGTACTTGCACAATTTGGTAGGTGGGGAATAAATTAATTTATTTTATCGAAAAAAAAATAAGCTTATTTAAAAACATTATTAAAATACATAAATTTGTTTAAGTTATTTTAGGCGGATAAAAAATTCGTAATAATATATATTTATACAAATAATTGTCAACGTTTTGATTACATTATTTCCTACAATACAACATTCAAAATGAAAGTATGTATAATTGTATAAAAAAAAAAAAAAGACATATTATAAATTATAAAATAAAATCTATATTTATATTAAAAGCCAACCTATTTACCAAAAATAGTAGCAAGAAAAGTCAACTCACATTTAATGCATACTTTATTTGAAAATTTTTTATTATATGCATTAATTGCTTGATGTATACATTTCCTATTCAAATATGATCAAAAAGATTTTTTCCTTAAATAATTTTATTAACTTCTGCAATGATTTTACTGATATATATTATAATTCATATTTGTTGATAGTATTTTTTAATTTTTATTTGAGTATATAAAAACAAATATTTTTACATTAATATTTTATTTATTATTTAAGAGATAATGACACATCATTAAATGATTTTACTGATGACTAGATAATAAATTAAAATACATTAATTATTCTTTAAAATTTTGGCATGT